GTTCTAAAAGTCTTATAATGAAGCATTCCTTTTGAACTAATGTTAGAGAGAGCAAATCCCTTTTCTACCTTTAAAACAAGAATTGCAGCTCAAAATGATTGATAAAGAGAATTAAACATTAGTAAAGGAATATTACATTTCTGTTAATGAATTAAACTTATATACACTATGTCTAGTCATAAAAGAGTGTCTTTCATTTGTATTTTAGTGCTTTTGTTTATCAAAAATATTTGATTTTTAATATATAAATATTTGTCACTTCATGGCAAGCGTGACTTCCGGCTATATGGTACGATTTGATAAGCTTAGAAATATTTTTGGAGATCCATTATATTCCTGTAATAGACCACGGTCCAAAACGCAGAATTTTACACTCCAATGTGAACAAACTTTGTAATGAAAACAGCAAAACGCAAACCAAACGCAAATAAAAAACTATTTACGAATGTGACTCGAAGAAAAAACACTTAAAAAACTGTTTAACTAAATATCCAAACGATACAATTTGAAAAGATTTATTTTTTATGGACAAAAACATGAAAATTGAAAGCCAACCGGTAAAAATACAGCAAAGACAAGAAAAAATATAAGCTTCGTTTCAAGTTAAATAATGCCATATAATAAAGCTTTTAATAACCTCACTTTCTCGGACTTAACTGAGAAATATCAGACCTCTGTCGTTTAGTACAAACCTCGTCCTACGGGCTCAGTCTGTACAAAAGACGTCGGTCCGATATTTCTCTGTAAAGACCTCGCATTCGGATATTAAGCGCTTAATAATTTAGTTATAAAGTGTTTACGTATTTAAATGTTTTATAAATTACTTTTGTGTACTTTATCGTTTTGAAAATTTCTACTTCATATGCCCCTGGTAGAAATTAACGTAATTTGATGAGGTAGCTAAACGTCTTTGAATAAATATTTCATTAATCTATCCAAATTTGCATAATTTTAACAAAAGAAGTCCAGTTTTCGAATACACACACGTGTTATGAATTAGCCAACATAGATTCAAATGCACATGTTTACAAGTTATAACCAATAGAAGTCCAGGTTTTAAGCATCATTGTTGTGATAGAACGCCCAACGGGCGATAGTTATTAAATGACATTCTCAAGTACAGTAAGAATAAATATACTTCAACTCTTTTTTTAAACAAAAAGGTATGTTGAGTTTTCAACATTATTATAAGAGATAAGTGCTTTGATTGTGAGTAAACACAATGTCTGTAAATCGTAGACAACAGGTAACTTCCAGAAAAAAACGCGAGGATGAACACTTGTAACTGAAGCAACTTGACACAAATTACCAAAGAACGAGGTCAGACACTCAGATTTCGGACACTGTCGATCAGGATCATCAACGCAATCCAACGTATAACAAATTTCACCAGAACGTGAGCCAATAATAAACGTCTTAACAATGTAATCAAACGGACAAGCTATGGTAACAGCAATAAGTTTTCCGTCAGGAGAATAACTGATATCATTAAGCAAATAAAGTAATTGTGATGTTTTGGGTGAACAGCTAACCTTTTCGATAGGCAAATTGGAAATTTTCAGAATTGTCAGAAAGATTTAAAACGCGCACACACAAAACAGCCCGTAACGATCACATATTGCAAATTCCCCACGGCCAAATGCAGGATTGTAGCAGCATTTTGTAACTGCTGAATAATAATCGTAAACACGAACACGTTGTAGTAGTTTTAAACTGTCAGCGTCAAAATAGAACAGTTCACCATCAGTGCTTCCTGCCAAAAGACGGCTGGCATCAGGAGATAGAGCCAAACAACTAAAGCCATCAGCACGATACTGCGCCCGCAAATGTAAATAATCTTCAACAGCACTTTCATTCCCACTTTCACGTCTTTCTTTTAACACTTGCTCGTCACGGTCATTCAACTCAAGATCCGTATTAAGTATAGGACAACCTAACTGAATGCAATCAACTCCACTATATTCAACTTTAAGATCAATCCATTGGTCGGGTCCGTCTTTTATAGAATCTTCTACGTTCCACAAACCGTCCGGTAGTTTATACACACGACACCAAAAGCGGTACAAGTAATGGGGAAGCTCAGGATCCAAACAAATAGTTACGGCAATTCTCCTTCCATCTGGGAAGAACTTAAGTTGAGAAGTGCGAGCATAAACACAGTTTATGCAATATACCGGTTTAGGTAACTTGCCGACCTCATTATCTGGGTGGCAAAAACAATCAAAACAGAATTGATAATATTACGTGACGGACGACAAAAGAACGCTGCACTTGCAGCTATTAAAGAACCGTCCCAAGAGACGGCCCATTTTGTATCAGGGTTAAAACCTAACACTTTTTTTTTCGAGCTCTTTTCAAATTTTATATCCATGAATTTCTTGACATCAGATTTGAAATCTTCACTTATAAGTCCTAGTGTATCGCTCTTGAAGCTGTACAAGAAACTTTTCATTGATGGTAAATAACACAAACAACGTATCGCCATATTTGTTTCAATGTTGACAACATGTGATGGTGGAATACCGTCTAGTTTCTAAATAAAAAGAATGTTTTAATCGTAATGTGAAAAGCTCACCAGAAGATCAATACTTGAAATATTTTATTATTTATACCTCGCTCATACATATCTCATATTCAGGAAAGCTGGGAGATGACGAACGTTCAGATTCATCATCAGATGAATTGGAAGACATCGCGCAACTCTTTTCAAAACCTAGAAAAATCGATTCTATTTCAAAATCGCTACCATTCTCCTCTCGGAAGCATGATTTTGCGAAAGAGTTTGGACACAGGAAGTAAAATTGCCTGGTGTCCGCCATTTTGTTTTAAAAATAAGCAAATATCTGGCAAATATAGAGAATTGAATGGTGAAAAGACAAATTTTCCGTTTTGTTTTCTTATTCATGAATAGACAGCGATATGGTTTACTTCAAAATCGGAAAATCATCAAGCTACGTTCTTAGATACCTGGCGCTCGACGTTTTACCCTCAACTATTTAACTGAAGCTAATTTTCCAGAGTTTTGGAGATAAAACAAGTCAATAAGCGGAAACTTTTAGTGCAAAATATTCCCCCGTTCAACGTTACGCAAGTCACCCATTCCACATTAAAATAAAAGCATTTGAAATGGTGAATAGTTTAAAATCCAATTGGTAAAATATTCTCTAGAAATTGTCAACGAACAAGCGTCATTTTAAGTTATCTCGAAAATAAAATAGGCTGTTGTGTTGTATTGATTGTTTTAGCTTTGCTATACTTCCCTTTAACACGATGAAAACAGCTAAAATTCACACTTACCAGAATAAATATTGTCAGAGCACGTTTCAATGAAGACGACATGAAACTAAATGAATTTAACGACCACGAGGTAGAAAAGGTCTGACGTCTGAATCTATTCTTTCCACTAACATGTATCCCAGAAGTCAGCATTAATATTTAAAATTCAATTACCAGTGTGATTATGGAAAATACCCATATACTTCATGATATAAGTTTTAGTATTCCCTTATATATCCTTGAAATATGCAGTAAGATTTTAGTTTATTATATTTTATACAAAAACCACTCTATATCACGGTCAAAAACGAAGTTAAGTGAAACTTCATTAATGTAAACCCAAGTCCATTGCTGTAGAAACGGATTATTGGGGACAATGGACGTTCCGTATAGGCCGATGTCATTAGCACTTAAGGGTATAAAAAATTTGATATTGGCAAATTTTGATAATTCTTGTAAAATCCGTAGTTAAGTCTTGATCTTAGCTTATATCTGCTCGTTGACGGTCTTATAACTATATCTAACAGCATTGATATTTTGTATTTCTGGTCCATTCATGTTCTGTGCGTTGCATGCATTCATTCTTATCAATTAATATATTATCTGAATTACACATCCCACCCCATTCACTTTCTACGCCTAATTAAACAATTCAATGACCTTGTCAGCAGTAAAGATTGACAAAACAATAAACTGAATCTATCTCAACTTCATCTACAGTGGCACTAAGTCAAACTCAATGCATTCTACAGCTGTTTTGCGAGTTCGTTCCCTGGTCAAAATAAAATTAGCTTGCGAATGTGAGATGAGTTTATGAGCTTTTGCTTGCGTTTTTTCTCTGGCTGCTCCAGTTTTCTTCCTCTGGGAAATTTTGTAAAAGGGTTGATATTTACAGAAAGAATGGCGTTCAGGGAGAACCGTTATAAAAGGTTCTTCTGAGGTTAACACAGCGTAGGCAAGGTTAATATGAATTCATTGTTCGTATAATAGAGTATTTAAATTTATTACTACTTAAAAAATAACGTTTTGGCCGCGTTTACACTATACCGGATTTGCTCATCACGACATCTTCATTTGCTTCAAAAGGGATAACTGTTCGGAGTAAAAGCTTATTAAGCGGATAGATTTAGTCTATTTGATCGTGTTTTGACGCTGAACAATTTTACTGCCTTTTAATGTAAAGAATATTCAACCTGCTGCGATAGCAATCCGGTATATTGTAAACGGAGCCTTAATGAAGACGTGTCAAAAAAAAGCATGGAAAAATGTCGTCGTTTTATATTCGCGTATTGCGTAATGATGGGTATTACCATTATGTGCCAAGTAAGGACTAGCCTCCCACCCCCTCCCGCCAGCAATTAAAGTTTTTTCAAGGGCTGCACTGAAATAGTTCTCTTTCATTTAAAAAACATTGTTTGTATGGAAGCTTTTTTATATTGGCAAAAATCATCTATTATATTGCTGTCTCTCTCAAGCCATGAATTCCATGCTTCTTTCTTGCAACAAGAATCTTTTGCTCTTTAACAAACAAAACAAAACTTTGCTGGTTTTACTTTCCTTTCATAAATAAGAATGTATTATACATTTTATATTTTACGCATATCTCTATTGCTCTCAATAAGCCGATAAAATGTCGAGTTTTTAAATTGACGGGTCATAGACTATAGCGCACCAGCCTTCGACTTTATATTGTTTTGCCAAGATTGTGTAATAAGGACGTCTCTCTATATCAACACCTTCCACAAAGCAACATCCGAAAAACCAACGGAAAACAGTTTATCTCCGGTCGGAGAAAATGTCACATGGCTAATAGAGTCACAATGCATATCGAAATCTTGAAAGCTACCTTTATCATAATCAATTACTTTCACTAGTCGATCTAAAACAAAAAGAAAATTACAGACAGCAAAAATACCTAATTAAGTGATTGTAAACTAAAGCATTGGGTGTCATTAATTCTCGAGGAAATAAAAGAAGCACTGAAAAGAAATAAAAAACTTTTTAATGAGAATTTCACCTAGTGCTTTTTTGATTCATATTTCCGACGTAGCTACGTCGATTTGGGACGTTTTTTTTAGACTTAAACTATGTGGGATACGTAACCCTAAATTGTGATCTTAATTTTCTTCTCAGAAAACCATTGATAATCCAGTTTTACTAATGGCAGAAAACTAGATGAGAAAAATTGACATAAGTTGGAGTAGATAAAAAAACTTTAACGATTTCAAACTATTGTCTTTCGAGATATAGAAAGGATTTTCAAATCATTTAGTGTTGTTTTGCAGAACGTTGAAAAAACTTCTTAATTTATACCTTTTGTTCCAACAGCAATTAAATGACCCTTTGGCGATAATTCCAAGCAAGAAGCCCATTGTGTCAACAAAATAGTTCGAAAAACCTGACAATGAACACATTTCCATCAATGATGGACATTTTGTCTGCTCCAAGCACAGACCTCTTACAAATACTGACCTTTCTCTGGGACAAGCTGTAGAATTGTATCAGTTTTCTCAGACCATAACCACTGTACACAATAACATCGGGCTCTGTTGGCGAGAATCTTGCCAAACTTGGCGGTAGATGCAAATACGCAGACTTCAAAGGGAGAAAACATGCTTATTTCAAAATTATTAAAACAGTTTTCCATAATAATTTATTTATCTTTCATCATCTTGAGCATATACAATCAAGACAAGGAACAAACTACAATTTCTCACCGCATCGTCTTTTTTCAAAGCAATTCCTTCAGGTGTTATATTTGGAGCGGGAAAAGTTAACCAATCAACAAGCTCGCAGAAATCCTTCGACCAATCGGCCTTCCATACGCTAACCCTACTATCAGCGCTCATAATAAGCCACAATCTGGGAGAATTGAATGATGGATGATCGTTCTAAAAACAAGGTTTTGATTATTAATAAGCCCTTAATGACCGAGCGCGACGTGTTTACAGAGAAACAATGGAACGAAGTTTTTTTGTACAGACCGATCCCGTAGGGCGAGGTTGTACAAAAAAGACAGAGGTCTGATATTTCTCAGTAAAGACCGAGAAAGCGAGGTTATTAAATAGATTATTAGATGGCATTATTTGACCTGAAACGAAGCTTGCCTTCTCGTCCTTGCGGTTTTTACGAGTTGATTTTCACTTTTCTAGTTTTCGTCCATAAAAAGTAAACTCGTTTCATAATTGTATCGTCTAGATAGTTTTCCAAGTGTTTTTCTTTCGAATTACATTCGTAAATGGTTCTTTGTTTCGTTTATTTCGCGTTTTGCTGTTTGCTTTAAGAATTTTGTTTACATTTGACAGTAAAATTACGCGTTTTGGACAGCGGTCGATTACGGGAAAATAATGGAAAGGCAAAAATGTTTCTGAGCGAATCAAAGCGCATCATTTAGCCGGAAGTGACACTTGCCGTATAATAATTATCATCAATAACCAGTAAGATGTTAAGTTTGGTAAATATTGCGAAAGTGCTTAAAAAATATTTTGAAGTAGGTTAAGACTTTTTATTCATAACAACATAAATAACGTTTGCACTGATTGGTCTATAGCTGAGTTTGTATTAGTTTTTGTGAACTGATCTGAGCTCAATTAATCAATCAAAGAGAATTTTCATATCAATCATGAATACATGTTAAAAGAAAAATAAAAACATTTCTCTGAAACTTTCGCATTATTGCTATTTTAGATAAGAAATAAAAGATGTTTTTGTGTTGGCACAGGCTTATGCAAATCTTGGAGAGGCTCATGAGAACTCTCAAACAGGTGCACTGATCTGATCTCAAGTTCTCCCAAAGGACTCTTCCGTTTGCATAAGCCCGTATAAACACAGTGAAAATCTTGTATTTCTTACTCTGTTCTATTTGTTGCAGAGTGTTTGTCATTGTACCTTATGTGAAGCAATGTCCATATCAGTGATTGGTGCTCCCTTATGATCTTGGATCAAACGGACAGTGAGGCCAGTAGCAGGACTACTTATGGCTACCACACCATCTGTACTACCACTCATAAAAACACGACCTATACAACAAATTCATTTCTAAGGTACGTCAAAATTGTCAATGTTCAGTTTGACCACTAGAGTTGAACTACAATTAGACTCGATGATTTTCATAACCAAATAATCAAGTAATCTACCATTCTAAGTTATACTTAACAAACCCAAGTTATAAAAACAACACAAGTCAACATCCACAAACACATCTTATCCTCAAACCTTCCAATATTCTTAAGCACACCAATTCATCCTCAGCCATGACATTTTATACTTAAAAATCCCAAGTTATTCATAAGCTCCAAAGTTATCCTTAACAAGAGGACAACAGGGGGAAGATGAAGAACCAAGCATAAGGTAGATACCACACATACCACTGTATACTAAACCTCTTATAACACTGTGCTCTACAGGTAGATATCGCATACATCAGAGTATACTATAGTTAGATACTAGAAATATCACTGTATATTATAGGTGGATACCACATATACCACTGTATACTATACCACTTATATCACTGTATACTATAGATAGATATCACATATACAGGTGGATACCACATATACCATTGTATACTATAGGTAGATATCACATATATAGGTAGATACCACATATAGCACTGTATACTATAGGTAGATACAACATATAGCAGTGTATACTATAGGTAGATACAAAATATATCACTGTATACTATAGATAGATATCACATATATCACTGTATATTACATATAGATACAACATATATCACTGAATACTACAGATAGATACCACACATATCACTGAATACTATAGATAGATACCACATAAATCACTGTATACTATAAGTAGGTACAACATATACCACTGCATATTATAGGTAGATACCACATGAATTACTACATACTATAGGTAGATTTTGCGTGTATCAAGCAGCGACTGTTCCTTACCACAGGAAGAAAAATTGATAACAGTAACGCCCCCAGAATGAGGATGTATTTTCATAATCATTTCAACTCTTCCAAGATCAAAGAGTCTTACGGTTCCATCATCAAAACCAGCCACGCAATGTGATGGTCTTAATGGTTTCTCCACTGGTTCCATGTTAGGATGTACTGTGGCTATCACTTCACCATCTTGTAAGACATTATGTGTTGGTTCACGTGGAGGAGTTGGACAGAATGAAACACAATTACAGCTCTATGGAGGAAAAGAATTTTTAAACAACTGATAGTCAACATCGACGAAATTTTTAGAGATGAGTTACGTTTTGGTCCCGTGTAAGTGAAAGCTTTTATTTATAACATATACAAGCGCGCAAAAGATCTTTTTATCTGTGACATATGAAGAGCCTGAGCAGGCTCAAAGAGAAATCTTTATTTGTGACACATGAAGAGCCTGAGCAGTTTCAAAGAGAAATCTTTATTTGTGACACATGAAGAGCCTGAGCAGGTTCAAAGAGAAATCTTTATTTGTGACATATGAAGAGCCTGAGCAGTTTCAAAGAGAAATCTTTATTTGTGACATATGAAGAGCCTGAGTTCAAAGAGATCTTTATTTGTGACATATGAAGATCCTGAGCAGTTTCAAAGAGAAATCTTTATTTGTGACATATGAAGAGCCTGAGCAGGTTCAAAATCTTTATTTGACATATGAAGAGCCTGAGCAGTTCAAAGAGATCTTTATTTGTGACATATGAAGAGCCTGAGCAGGTTCAAAAATAAATCTTTATTTGTGACATATGAAGAGCCTGAGCAGTTTCAAAGAGAAATCTTTATTTGTGACATATGAAGAGCCTGAGCAGGTTCAAATAAATCTTTATTTGTGACATATGAAGAGCCTGAGCAGTTTCAAAGAGAAATCTTTATTTGTGACATATGAAGAGCCTGAGCGGGTTCATAGAGATCTCTTTATATGTGACATATGAAGAGCTTGAGGAGGTTCTAAGAGATATCTTTATCTGTGACACATGAAGAACCTGAGCAGGTTCAAAGAAATCTCTTTATCTGTGACATATGAAGATCCTGAGTTGGTTTAAAGAGATCTCTTTATCTGTGATGTATAAAGAGCCTGAGCAGGTTCAAAGAGATATCTTTATCTGTGACATATGAAGAGCTTGAGGAGGTTCAAAGAGATCTTATTATTGGGACGTATGAAGATCCTGAGTAGGTTCAAAGAGATCTCTTTATCTGTGACATATGAAAAACGTGAGCAGGTTTAGAGATCTCTTTATCTGTGACGTATAAAGAGCCTGTGCAGGTTCAAAGAGATCTCTTTATTTGTGACATATGAAGAACCTGAGGAGGTTCAGAGAGGTCTCTATATGACATATAGAGCCTGAGCAGGTTCAAAAGATCTCTTTATTTGTGACGTATGAAGAACCTGAGCAGGTTTAAAGAGATCTCTTTATTTGTGACGCATGAAGAGCCTGAGGAGGTTCAGAGAGGTCTCTTTATCTGTGACATATGAAGAGACTGAGGAGGTTTAGAGATGCCTTTATCTGTGACATATGAAGAGCCTGAGCAGGTTCAAAGAGACGCTCAAAATGATAGTTTGGTGGTGAACACAACTCTGTAAATTATATTATTTCAAAGCCTTGAGATCATAGCAAAATATCATGATTTAGCTAAGCGTTTATGGATAGTTGCATTTCAAGACGTCCATTTTAGTTTGCATCTTTTAAGCCGTAATATTGTTTCTAACTTACCAATAACATTAATAATAACAATGATAATATATTCAACCTATATAACTCAAAAGCACTAACTAGTAGTGTTGTGTGTCCTTGTGATAGATAAAATTGACAGATGTAAACCTTTAACTACAAAAAACTAGGTCCACTCTTTCTGAGTAAAGACCTTGTCAATGAAGGTTTATTATGGGTCATTTGCACGAAAAGTAAAACTGTTTAAAAATTTTTCCTGACTGTTTAAAATCTCTTGAAAGAGAAGAATATAAGATTTGTAGTGAGCAATCACTGAAATAAAATATTGCTTCCAAGATTACAAAATTTACTATCCAATGGATTACGCTATACGGGCTTCGTACAACCGGCCCCAGTTTTGAAAGTTGTGTCAACTCTCACCTTATTAATTACTGGCGGAAGCTCGCCTTGAATTCTCAACTATGCTTAAGACCTTACAGTGTAAGGCTTACACTAACATAAAAATATCAGAATTTATTTTGTAAAACAGAGCGATTTAAGAGCTCGTATTTCCCGACAATAGTTTTATATAAATAGCATATTTAATTTTGAATGACGACGAGAAACATGCTTCAATTCACCTGATCAACAACTTGAAATTGCAGCGTTTGTTCGAGGTCATCAGAAGTCCAGACTCTCAAGCTACCATCATCGGAGCAAGTCGCAAAGAATTTGTCATCAGGACCGCTGGCCACCAGTGAATTTATCTAAAACAATCACGTGGTTGAAGATGGTTTAAATCCCAATATTTTCACTGGGAGATTAACACAGTAAGTTACCTTCTCTGTATGACTGCTGACAAGACGAATAGACGTCCTCTCTGTCCAGTTAATGTACCATAACGTACCTCCAACTGTACCAACAATACCCTAAAGTACACACCACACACCTCGAGGCAAGCAATCCACATGGAAAACATATTTTAGAAAATATCGAAAACCTAGTTTTCAAAAGGAAAACAGATTCTTCAATTTCTTCCCTTTTATTCGCCATTCTTTAATCTTCCCACTGACGAAGTCTTACCATTTCCAAGGATGTGTCGAATGAAGCAGAAATCACTTCGGCGTCCAAAGACATTTCGTCTTCGATAACCAAACCATTTTTATTCAATCTGATAAAATATGGGATCAGCTTTCGCAAAAAATGAAATCTAGAACGCGCTTTCTCATGAGATCAAAAACTTCATTGATCCCGCTAACGCAAAGTTATCACAACAAAATTGAACTATTTCGGCAATTCTAAGTTGAAAACTTTCCCCTTAGTGTCTGCGTGATAATCCTCATGAAAAAAAATAACTGAAAAGAAACATACACATCATTCTCTCCGGGCAATCTCATCTCTCCAACGCCTACAACAGACCAAAGACGAAGATGCCCCGATGAGCTTCCGGTAATCAGCGAGCTGCGATGACAAACAATTACATCTACGAAGAAAGCAAATAACGACTGTAGAATATAAATTCAAAATGAATTTCATAAAATTTATACCAGCATGACAAACTGAGTTGAAACCATGAATAATATGACAAAGAAAACACATAATATAAATACATTTTCTTACCGATTTCAGAATCGTCAGAAAGCCAGTGCATAAAACACTTGTTTTGTCTTGTATCCCAAACGGATATAATTCCTAGAAAGTCAAAAAAAATCAGAAAAAAGAAAAATGATTTTCAAGAAAGAGACACGTAAAGTCAACAAATATTCTCAATCATTAAAAACATGATCGTTTACTTCATGTAATATTAATGAAATGTGAGTAGAATTAGGCGTGAGTTTTGACAAGGACTGGTGCGAGTTGCCACACAATACGCAATCAAAAAGAAACAAAACCTCCTGTGATTTTGTATTGACATTTAAGTCAAGCTACAAGAGCAAGGAAAATCTTTGGTAGCTACAGTCTTTTATAGTCTCCTTAAGAACAAAACATCAAAACCAAAGGATAAGCCATCAATCTTTCACGCTTGAAAACAAATCTATTGGGACCATAGAAGATGAAGTGGACTGGAAATTTGCAATAAACCAAACTTTATAGTTTCAAGCATACCAGCATTATTGCCTATATAAAGCACATTATCACCAGCATAGCGGACACTTGTAAAATGTACCATGGAGTCATTCTGTCGACGAAAAAACAGCAAAATATTACAAAGAAAGAGAAATTATAACGAAGCAAGTTTCAGATAAAAAGCGAAGAAAACCTGCTTTGAAGTGTATAACAAATCTTCGGGAACTTTCCCTTCGCAAACCTAAAAAACGAAGGGTCATCCTTCATAAAACTGAATAAAAAATGTGGACTCCTAAATCTGGAGATCAAATTATGAAATCATAAAAGTATTTTCAAAAATCTGGAATCTTGGAATTTAGCACAAAAATCCTAAATCTTAAAACTGGAATGTAGAAAACGCATATCAAAAATTATAGTCATTCAAACTTTTATAAATTGAAACATCAATTGATAAAATATATATCAATATACGCACCAAGACATACACTATCCACCCTATATTACCTCATGAGTACTCACATTCAAGTTGAAAGATCCACGAGATTCTTCCAGTAACCAAAACAGCACGTGACCATCTTGTCCGACCGACACAAACTCGTTCATCGTATAAGGATCCCATGCGATGTCATGGATTGGAGTTTTAGTATAGGACGATGTGAGTACATTGTAGTCCTTAGTACCCCATATTACCACGGAACACTCCCTGTAATCTCCGACTGAGATCAGAAAACGATCGTCTCTTGAGAAATGAAGGCCAACAATCTCATAGGAGTGATATGTCAGCATCTGAATATAAATATAAATGCTCTAATTTATGTCTCAATGTAAAGATTAGAGACCAACAGATCGTTTAAAAGAAAGCCATAAGTGGTTTAATTTATGATAGTCCGAAGAAATCTGAAGATGTGTCTGATTTCGTTAATGTCTGCAATTAGTCTGAACTCAGATTATGTGTTGAGTCAAGACGAAAGGTTTCTTTAATGAGCATTAAAAAATAAAACCGCTAATGGCTTTTTTGAAAACAAACTGTTGAGCTCTGATCTTTATCTTGAGAATAGGATTCCCGCCTGGCACACTCGCTGGCAACAATATTCATGCTCAGATTAACATATATTAAAAGTTTTCAATAAATCAAGAAAAATTCAAAAATTACAGATTTACAAGATCTTTTATCTACGGCAGTAAAAAATTTGTGTCATAGACACCATAAAACGTTTAACTATCCATCTACCCATTAGGGAAGACAGCCCAGTAATTTAGGTCGAGATATAAAAATTTCAGATCATTGGCATTATTGTTTTTTACAGCGAGTGAACAACTAAATAATTACATAGCATGAACAAGTTTGCGGGCTGGCTACGCCACTGCCTCTACACCTAAATAATTACATAGCATGAACAAGCTTGCGAGCTGGCTACGCCCCTGCCTCTACACCTAAATAATTACATAGCATGAACAAGCTTGCGGGCTGGCTACGCCACTGCCTCTACACCTAAATAATTACATAGCATGAACAAGCTTGAGGGCTGGCTACGTCACTGCCTCTACACATAAATAATTACATAGCATGAACAAGCTTGCGAGCTGTCTACGCCCCTGCCTCTACACCTAAATAATTACATAGCATGAACAAGTTTGCGGGCTGGCTACGCCACTGCCTCTACCTTTTTACAATCACCAGTTGCAATATCCCAGATACAAATGCATGACGCCACCGTCTTCGAAGACCCGGATGCCGAGGCAAGAACCTGAACATCGTGTTGAAGAGCTATTGTGGAAATCTCTTCAAAATGTTGCATGAGATGTTTTTGTTTTCCATCATGAAGATCTTCGATGATAACGATGCAGCCACTGGTGTAAACGAACAAACCTGAATAGGGACAATTGTAACTGATCTCAATATATTAACGTTCTGGTTTGTTGTTTAATACAGAAGCGTATCAAACTCGATAGTTGGGGAGCACCTATTCGTAAACGCAATTTCTGTATTCCTGAATCGAACACTGATTGAAACAAGTGTATTCGCCAGGATTTTGCGTTTGAAAGCCAATCCTTTCAAAATTTAATTTGGGAAGAGGGATTTCGCATTTTAAAGCCAGTCCGTTCAAAATTCAAACAAAGGGAAGACGTGAAACCAACCCCTCTTCTACTAAGCAAAGCCATTGTTTGAATCCGTATTTCAACGAAGTGCATCGTACTTCCACTTTTTACTAAGTAACAAATACATAAGAGATCCTGAGTATTTCATTTTATGTAGAAAAAATCTTTTCCACCAAAGTTTAAAGGAATATGAAGGTGACCGGTGATGTTTCTTACTATCTAAAGTAACAAATCAGAATGCAGATTGAGCCCGCTAACCTGTTTCAGGATGCCAACACATATTGTTCCGGCCATCTCCGTTGTAATCAAGAACAGCCAGCAAAGCAAGTCCAGCCTGACTTCTGGGTGCCGTGTATTTTCTTTCAGGCAACGCAGTGGAACTCTTACGTTTCTTGTAATGTTTTAGCACACCAGGGAATGGGTGACCTGTATCTGAGGGAAGCGAATTGCGGATCGGGGTCTGGGTCTTGATCTGAAAATTTTCAAAATGTTATTTAGAGGGTGACAGACAGGATACCAGAACTAAAAGACGCGTGATGAAATCGATCGATTCGTTAAAGAGTACTACTCACAATACTACCGTGTTCAAACATTTCACTTTATTACTTTCTATATATTCTCACCAATATTATCTATTTCGAGCCCGGGAGTATAGCTGCAAGTTTGTAGATGTAGATCGTCCAGGTTAGTAAAGTCTTGAGAAGGACTGTTGTTGTTGATGTTGACTGATGTTTCAACAATCTTGTCTCTGAAGATGACTACCGCTAAGGTTGACGAAACGTCAATCAACACCAACATCAATAGTCCTTCTCAGGACTCAACAAACCTGGACGATCTACATCTGCAAACATGTAACTATCTATTTCATACTGTTTGACGCCTTCAAAATTTTGTCATCCTTTTCTGACAAATATGAACAGTCTATCCACGAAAGTCTTCTCATCTCTAACCTTAACCCCAATCTTAACATCCAGGGCAGTTCAATCCCACTAAATCTAATTCCACTCGATCCCACTTTATCGCCTAATGCACATCATTCCACCACATTGTTATCATCACATTTTGTAATCTAACACACTGTAAATGTCTTACAATTAATGTTTATGTTTTTAAACTTCCTATATAATTCACAACTAGCCTGATGTCTCAAGTTAAAGATGAAATGCTATGATCAACAGATATTTCATCGATGCCTAGATAAAAAGTTATTTGTTGGGAGAGTATAGTTACGCTAAAAATTCATTTTTCGCCAGGCATATTAATAATTACACATCATATTTTTTAAAAAAAATGATGACACGTATAAATCGTTTGTACAGAATCTTTTTCGAATGAGCGAAAACGAAATGTCGCAATCTTTAAAACATATATCCTATTCCTAAAGTAGAAGGGACTTATAAAAACAGTTAATCGAACACAAATATTCATTCCGAGAAATCGCTTCCCGAATAGACTGAGCAAAATATGTTCAATGAAACAAAAAGATTTCGTCATCTTTAAACGAGACCCACCGACTTCGATATCTCTGGAGTGTTGTTCGGAACTTTTAAATTTCTAGTCACAATAGGATTGAAACTATCGATGACTTTCACGTCTTTCTTAGACGGAGAGTTTACGACCATCTCGTCCCGTTTGCCTGGAGAACTGGGGAGAGGCTGTAGAGGTAATTCGGTCGCCATAATTGGAGGTCTGGGTTTGAGATCAGATTCTCCAATTTCATCTTGTGTTGGTGAGCCAGCTCCATCAAAAACATGTGCAGTTTTATCTGAATTGAAAACGCAAGATTTATTCGAAATGTTGCAACTTAATATCCTTAAGGATCCGCTGGATGAATAGTGAAAAATAAAGGAAAGAATTTTTCAGCAAGAACGCCATGGAATAGTGCATGGAAGTAGTACAAGCTGAGCTGGAAAGAGAATTTCTCACAGGCAACCTTAAAATCGTTATAGAAAGTTCTACAAGACGCAGTTAACTTAAGGCATTATGTGGAATCACGAGCTTTCGTGACATAAAGACTGTTGGTTACAGTTAGATGTAAGATTGTGAAAGTTTATGAAAATATTTAAAATATAATTTTATATATATGAAAGCATAAAACACACCCGATTCATCTTTGTTGTAATCAATCGCTTCTTCTCTTCCACTAAGAAAAATGGCGAAGAAATGAAAAAAAATCATAGCGAGTCGTAATCACTGCTCTCGAAATAAGACTGGATCAAGCATCTAGCACAAAAGTTGAAGACAAAAAATAAGGAGCACCACCATTACTAAGGGACCAACTTTCGAAAATAAGGAGCAAATGTATTGTGGATTTATACGAGAATAATCCTGAATTTTCAACATGTAACTACATGAACATAACTAAGAGATGAATCAGTTTATAGATAAGCTAAAAATACGATGAAATATGATGAAATATGATCAAAATGCAGCGATTTTTGTCATCGGTAACTCTATTGTGGTATGGAAAAACAATGGAAAATAGCCCACAAGTGCATGGAAATACCTAAAATTGTTGGAATCGTAGTTTAGAAGTACAAAGTGATTAAATAATGTAATTTACTATCATAAACTGATCAATCCTTTAAAATAGCCTTTTTTGCAAGTGATTCGGAGTGAAATGTGTATGCGTTTTGTTTTATACGGCCGATTATTCTCTCTGACTCGCTTTACTATCGCCACAAAGGTTTTTTTCATCTTCTTCCTTATCTTAAAGAATAATTTGGCAATGTGTTGCTATGCTTTCAATAGTTTTGCTAAAAAATCTTTCGATGTGTTGGTCCCTTACTAACGGTGGCGTTGGCTTCAAAATTTGTTTACTACAAATATACAGTAGCTTGATCCAGTCTTTTTTCGAGATCAGTGGTCGTAATATGGTCGTAATGAACGTTTTTACAATCTGGAGATGAGTGGTGATTGGATGAGCTTCCGAGATTACCGAAGGCCAAATAACTGGTTATACCATTTAAGTAACCAGTTGAATCGTAGGCTTCAAAATTTAAGGGAGCGTTTTGGTAATATTCATGTCATGTTTGTGGATGTTGATCGTCCAGATTAATAGAGTCCTGAGAAGGACTATTGTCGTTGATGTTGACTGACGTTTTGACTTCCTTAGCGGTAGTCATCTTCAAAGTAAAGTGATCTATGACATCAATGATCTATGTGATCTATGACTTCAATTATCTATGTGATCAATGACTTCAATGATCTATGTGATCTATGACTTCAATGATCTATGTGATCCATGACTTCAATGATCTATGTGATCTATGACTTCAATGATCTTTGTGATCTATGACTTCAATGATCTATGTGATCTATGACTTTAATGATCTATGTGATCTATGACTTCAATGATCTATGTGATCTATGACTTCAATGATCTATGTGATCTATGACTTATATGATCTATGTGATCAATGACTTCAATGATCTATGTGATGTATGACTTCAATGATCTATGTGATCAATGACTTCAATGATCTATGTGATGTATGACTTCAATGATCTATGTGATCAATGACTTCAATGATCTATGTGATCTATGACTTCAATGATCGATGTGATGTATGACTTCAATGGTCTATGTGATCTATGACTTCAATGATCTATGTGATCTATGACTTCAATGATCTATGTGATGTATGACTTCAATGATCTATGTGATCAATGACTTCAATGATCTATGTGATGTATGACTTCAATGATCTATGTGATCAATGACTTCAATGATCTATGTGATCAATGACTTCAATGATCTATGTGATGTATGACTTCAATGATCTATGTGATCAATGACTTCAATGATCAATGTGATCTATGACTTCAATGATCTATGTGATGTATGACTTCAATGATCTATGTGATCAATGACTTCAATGATCTATGTGATCTATGACTTCAATGATCTATGTGATCTATGACTTCAATGATCTATGTGATCTATGACTTCAATGATCTATGTGATCTATGACTTCAATGATCTATGTGATCAATGACTTCAATGATCTATGTGATCTATGACTTCAATGATCTATGTGATCTATGACTTCAATGATCTATGTGATCTATGACTTCAATGATCTATGTGATCTATGACTTCAATGATCTATGTGATCTATGACTTCAATGATCTATGTGATCTATGACTTCAATGATCTATGTGATCTATGACTTCAATGATCTATGTGATCTATGACTTCAATGATCTATGTGATCTATGACTTCAATGATCTATGTGATCTATGACTTCAATGATCTATGTGATCTATGACTTCAATGATCTATGTGATCTATGACTTCAATGATCTATGTGATCTTTGACTTCAATGATCTATGTGATCTATGACTTCTATGATCTATGTGATCAATGACTTCAATGATCTACGTGATCTATGACTTCAATGATTGATGTGATGTATGACTTCAATGATCTATGTGATCTATGACTTCAATGATCTATGTGATCTATGACTTCAATGATCTATGCCATAAAGACACTTACAGAATAACATCAGTCAAAAAAATGCTATCCTACATAAAAAATGTTTATACCAGCAGTTTTGGTAGTGCATAAATATCGTGAAATCTCTGTTGCGAATGTCAGTAAATAAAAAAACAAACAATATAAAAAAAGTGTGTTTACGTACCCAGGTTCCAAAGGAACGCGGCCATCTGCAAGAAAATCCCAGATAAATATCGCCTCTCCAATACTGACTAAAGCTTGGAGGTCTGGGGTAAAACAAACTTTGGAGACATTATTTGAATGGCCAATAAATACCTGTATAGAAACGGTTAAGATGTATCATAAAATAAAAACAATACAACGCGTGCGCTGATTAGTGTAGAGTTGTGCTTGCGTGCCCTGATTGGTGTAGAGTTGTGTTTGCGTGCGCTGATTGGTGTAGAGTTGTGTTTGCGTGCGCTGATTGGTGTAGAGTTGTGCTTGCGTGCGCTGATAGGTGTAGAGTTGTGCTTGCGTTAGCCTGTAAACATATTTCCTTTCTTATTTAATAAAGGATAAGTAAATATGATTTTTAGATCTCAACTCTTCCTAAATGTAAATGTAATGTAAGATATGAAAGGTTTTGTATACTTAAGGAATTTCAGATAAGCCCTTTGCATGCATAACTATACAGAATAATTCATTGATAAGACAGTTTTTCGTAAGAAATAAAGAGTATTTCTAATTAACACACACTAGCATTATATATATATCATTGATAGTAAAGTCAGTTATGAAAAGTATTCGTGGTGATTTCGACATAAATATAAATAAAAATTGTAAATTAAAATTTACAACGTGCCTTGTTAGATGTTGAAGAAGTTGGAGCGTAGTAAATGTCTTCATTATGAAGGTTATCGTACCTGGAAATTCAAGTCCATTTTCATGTGATAGTCCCATATCTTGATACGTTTATCACCAGCAGTTGCAAGAAAATGCCCAGTTTGGAAAGGATCAAGACTTGAACAGCTAGATCGATGAACGTTGGAAACCTAAGCAATAAAACATATTTCATATAATTCCTGTCGATGTGAAATTTTCATCATAACAAACTCTCTCTATGTCGCGTCAACGCCCCTCCCTCTCAATCTTGATTATCTACTTCGCTCAATAACTGTCCAATAACTACATCAAGTTTAAACAACCTACATCAAGCAGTAACTGCAAACAAATTCTTTAAATGTAAATCCTCTCCTCTTAATCATTATTATTTACTTCGCTCAATAATTGTCCATTAAGTTACATCAAGTTTTAACAGCCTACATCCATCAGTAACTATCAACAGACTCTTTCTAGGTATCGTAAAATCATCCCCCATCCATCATTATTATCCACCTCGCTCAATAACTGCCCACTATGTGCATCAAATTTCAACAGCCTACAACCAGCAGTAACCACCAAAAGTTGATTTAACGCCATAGGAGAGTAGCACAATCTGAGGGCAGTATCGTCAGTAGTGGAAACATTTCCTGCATGTATTGTTGTTATATCTATACGTAGAACCTAGATAAGATAAACATTGTTTAATATCAATTAATCTCAGCTTTAGCATGTTCAAGACTTATAGATAATCTGTACCTATAGACTGTTTAACATAAGATAACCTAAGCTTAAATATGTTGGAGATTACATAATCCCTACTTAAAAACTGTTTAACACCATATAATCTCAGCTAACACATGTTGAAAATTATATAAACTCTACTTAAAGACTGTTCAACGTCAATAACCTCAACTTGAACATGCGGAAAATGATATAATCACCATTTGAAGACTGTGTAACATTAGAAAATCTCGGTCTAAAGCCTTAAACATATTGAAGATTAAAAAATCTCCAATGATAATCAATACTTAAAGAATGTTTGACATTCAATAATTACAACTTGACATGTTGAAGATTAAATAACCTTCACTTAAAGACAGTTTAAGATTAGATAAGAACGTCACCTACAATAAACGTGAATGCCGTGACACGAGTATAATATAAGTACATAGTACAGTAAATGTGTAATGAAGTGGCTACCTATTCTTTGCTAACCTCGTCCAAAGTGCGGCAGTCCATTACAGTAATCACGTATTCGAATGGACCAATAACAGCAAGCCGCTGACCATCATCACTGACGGACAACACATCGGGAGCTAAATGATCCCCAGGTGCCACTGTATTGATAAGAATTCTTTGTACATTGAGCTCCTCTGTGGAACCTTGGTATAGCACTAAAATTCCTTGCGATCCAGCACTGTACATGTGTTCACCGTTCGGAGAAAAAGCCAATCCTGTAATCATCCCTTTGTGTTCCTTATGCTCTGCTAGCATTGAAGAACTTGCTAAAACAAAGATGTGGTTTTCATTAGATTGTGCAGACATCTACATTTTATTGATTAAAGCGTATATGACACAAAATTTCTTATTGTCCTTAATAAAAGTTTTCTAAAAACTTTAATGGATTTTCTGTTTAACATCATTTTTGCATGTTTACTTATGGATGTATACAAAAAGTAAACATGGTATTTGAATTTTTAAACAATAAAATAGTTTTGACAAAACACAAGCAGGTTTGTAGTGAATAAAACGACCGAATATGAATTTTCGAACTTACATGTCACAAAAACGTTAATGGTTTCAGAAGTAAGGTTGTAAAGGTGTTACAAGAAAATCCTTAAAAATTTTAGGAGATGTTTTATTCAAGACAATAAAAAATTCGTGTCATAGGCATATCAACTAACCCTTAGATGAACTATCCCTAACATGTACCATAACATCCCTTTGAGTATACCTATATCATATAATCCATAGTTGAACCACCCCTAATACATAGCATTACATCTCATTGAGTATGTCTATATGAAACAACCCTTAGATGAACTATCCCTAATATGTACCAATATATACCTCCAAGTATACCTATATACAAATAACCCTCAGTTGAACCATCCCTAATATATAACATTACATCCCTTCGAGTATACCTGTATCAAATAACCTTAGATGAACTATCCCTATATGTACCAATATATCCCTTCGAGTATACCTATATCAAAAACGCGAACTGCCCCATTCCGAAAGCCACAGACAAAGAGTGATTGATGAGGATGAAACGTCACAGTACAAGGATTCTCATTGGCTGCTCTAAAATCATACAATTGATTAAAGGTGTCTAGGTCCCATACACGAATAGTTTCATCATCGGACACGGTCACGAGAGAACCACGTGATGGATCAAAGGAGCAATCGAGTATTTGTTTGGTATGAGATCTCATCAGTGTTTTGTAAGAACGTGTGGAGATGTCGAGAATTCCAATGCTACCCTAAAGGAGGATTGAAGAACACAAAAATGTGATACACAGTCAAAAATAATTTATGGCTCACTGCTAAATGACTAGTAGAACCATTGAACTAAAATACATGGAAAGCTACATATTATAGAAAAGCCTGATAATTTTTGAAGCAAAATTTTACACCCAGACACGCGAGATTACACCTAGACACGTGTGGTAATCAATCAATTTTCACTCCACGAGAGAATCTCGAAACATTACACACGATTACACAGAATTTGAATTATCAGAAAATATATATTGTATAAATACAATAAACTACTTCTTGCTTTATAACTAATGTCCTTGCCACCATAATTTTTCATCATCATTCAAGAATTGATAACGGGACTTTGGTATAGTAAAAACCTTAAAAATGACAATATTGACAGCATACGTACCGTTACTGTACCGGCAAGAACAGATAAACAGTTCGGATTGATGTCGATAGACGAGACAGCACCATCGTGTTCTGTAAAGGAAAGGAACAAATCAACAAATGCAGTAACATCAAGTAGCAGTAGTAACACACCGTCAACAAATGCAGTAACATCAAGTAGCAGTAGTAACACACCGTCAACAAATGCAGTAACATCAAGCAGCAGTAGTGAAAATGCTTTAGCGATACACACCGTTTTATCGTCAACAGTTTCGTACAGCCAAATTAAATATAGACTAGTTGGCATAAGGCGCGACTTATGAGTCGAAATATGCTTTATAAACGACAAAAACTTCTTTATGCGGTGTCGAACGCTTATATGTAAGCATTTTTATCACTTAGAAATTACTTAACTACAATGTACGGCATTACGCATGTGCACATTTAGGCTTTTTTGAGCTTACGTCAATACTTAAATATTCAAAAATTGGAAAGGGGGTTCAAGGTGTTTTCTTCAAAAGAGTAGGCTGTGTTGCTCATACTTGGTGCCTGTTTTGGTCAATATCAAGATATCCCAACCTTTGACAAAGTAACAGACACACATACCTGCCTCTAATATTACACCCGAGAAATCCAAGGGCCACAGCCTGAGATAGCCATCGTCAGAGCCTGTCATACAGAAAGCATCTGTGACAGAGATGCAGTTGATACCAATTCCGAATTCACCCAGGTTCGCGTGAACAAGATCCTCTCGGCTTCCGGTCGGAAGTAGTCGTCGCACCTTATGAATCACCATCAGTTCGTAGTTGACTTCAAAAATTATTCCACGGTTCGAAGAAACATATCTGAAAAATAAGAAACAACATTTGAAAAATCAGCTTTGAAGTTATCTTTCTCAATCATGTTGATGTTTATAACATAGCTAAGTGTTCACTTGTGAATGAAGGGAAAAACGCTAAATTATTTGAACGATAAAAGCATTTGGAAATGGGCTGAATTTCAATGAAGACATTGGCGAAAATTGCACCGATTTCCTGATAAACAAATTGAATAACAAGCAAAAATTATTTTCTCGTTAGCTAATTTATCAAGAGAGAATAACGTGACACTGATCTATATATTAAACAGGAGTCAGTTCTACCATTTGAAAACATACAATACATTGAGTAAATTGAGTTACTATCGCGGTGTATTACAAAAATCAAATGTTCAGAGTAAAAAGTTGTGGTCAATGAGCGTGGACTTGGAAAAGAAAAGTACCTTTATGGTTGTTGGGAAAGCAAAATTTTAGTTAACTTAAACTGAACGTTCATGTTTCGCCATTTCAAAATTAGAAACTGAATAATCTAGTATTAGCCGTTCAAAATCAACCGACAGCCTTAGTAATGTCCCCCCCGTGCAACAATATTTCAACGCCAAAAATACAAAGTCTTACATCATTCGATATTTCTTGTTGTTTCCATTTACAAGTTCGTAACCAAAAGCAATATCGGTAAACTGAATTGAATGATGACTACCAAGATCCGAAGGCAGATGAACGTACGGAGCCGTGACGAACCATCCAGATTTGTATATTATCAAGTCCACACGATATCATCCTTCAAAATTCACATCAATTTGCAATAGTAAGAAAGCTTATGAACTGGAAAGAACCAATCTTCTTTCAAAAACATCCCCCCCCCCCGAAAAAAAAACCCAACCAAAATTAGGAAAAGTTTAGACTCGGACATACACTCTTCAGTTCTTTTAGAAATTTCAAGTATAATAATAACAGTGCGGCAAGAAAAATTTCAACCAACTCAGTCAAAAATGCCCGTAACACTTTTAATCTAAGCAGACAGCAATCCACTCAAGAAAAACGGCGTTTCCCGCTTCTGATGTGTAGCGTATTTTATGCGCAAAAAATGTCAAGTGTTAACTAAAATAATATATTAATAGTATTGTTTCCTAAATAAGCAAAATGGTGGTTGCAAACGTTTGGCAGTAGATAAACAACATAAAAATACAAATTCATAGCAATACATTCACCTTGTGTCATCGAAAGGAACAATTTTGATTCGCGTAATGTCAACGTCAGTATGTGCCTTGGCAACCACAGCAATTTCTCCAGTCCTTCCACAACGTGATGTATCCCAAACTACCACCATCTATACACAATTGTATCCACAGTTAGTAGAAACATAAAAGCATTCTAGGGTGTATGCTTTGATTCGATTGCTATTCTACTCGCCATCATCTATTTTTAAATGCTAGTTGCTCAAGCCGGGAAGCAAAAACAAACATGGCTGTCGACCATGTCTTTCCTGAGGCTTCAGGTGATAAACTTTATTGTTTACATCAGAGAATTTCAATGAGTTTCCACTAAACACAACATTAACATATTTAAATAAACAAAAATTCCCATTACAATAACTAAACATGCATTGAACAAGAGTCGTTCGCTTTTTAATACAAACAATGCCAACAACAACAAATGCATAAAAAATAAAGGAAAACTACAGCTGCAGTTTTTTTTTATATGAATACTGGTATACTCTACTGAACCAATTAGATTATTCCCTCTCGATTTCTATTTGATAGTTGAATTGGGCTTTGCCTTCATCAACATTAACCTCATAGAAATCTCGAGCTCGTAATCGAATTTTTAAATTGTAAGAACAAATTACAAATAAAAACGTTTTTGGTTAAATATCATTAAGCGTATCCTGTTCTTCTATGAGCATTTTAGATCACTGCTTATGTTAGCTACCATTTCCAAAATTTAAAATTTAAACAAAAATTTAAACGAAAAAATTACACGCAAAAAAGTAAAGCAAAGTAAATATTTCTCACACATGATGAAAGTTAAGATAAAACCATTAAAGCTCAATTGGAATTAGACAGAAAACATTTTAGCTTTGAAAGAATCCAGTTCTTTCTTTGCAACCGGCAACACATATGAAATCATGATAGACACTTACTCGCCTATATTTACACAACACTTTAATAAAATAGACAATTTTTCAAAAGAAAGGCATACATTTTGACTTTACCTGTTTACCGTGATTGTCTTTTCCACAACCGCACAAAACTCCACCACTATTTGAGAAACTATTAAAATAAAAATGGCGGGAAATTGTAAACAGAAAAAAACTGGGTCCAAGTGAACATATAAGGTAAGACAGTTTTTAGGTAAACATTAGGTATACTTTAGTGAAGCAGTATTTTACTCGTAAGGAAGCATGTCTGAAGCATGTCTGCATGTCTCCTAATTTGTAAACAAGTATGTCTGCATGCCTCCTAATTTAGCTAACGGTCGTAATGAACTTTCTTCACTTAATAAGATTCATACTAGTTGAATTGTTGTATTTAAAAATTTAGATGAGAGGTAGTATTCCAGTAAAATTGAGTTCAGTAGATTTACGAAAAATGGAGATAAGGGCAAACGAGAGCCCTCTATGTGTAATTACGAATAGAGGGCTCTAGGGCAAACACCCCAAAATAGCGATTTTGCAAAGGTGTTTCAACCCAGAGAGATAATGCATAGATTAAGAGCAGCTGTACTATTCATTGCCTCTTTAGAAGAGTAAATGAGCTTTTAAAACAGATTCATTAAACAAGCAGTTCTAATTTACATTGGTAAGAAATAAGAAAGGAGACGGTTCTAAAGACAAGCAATTCTAAAAATAAAGTAAAAATCTGAAGAATCTGAATTTTCTGCTTTGAATGACGAGTTAACTTATTCAGCTGAACTCCCTTTTACCGATTTTGATCATTTAAGAAAGAAAAGATGTTCAGTGTGTTTACACCGGCATATGAAAATCTAGGAGACCTTTAAAATTGAATCCACAAGACAAAAAAATTACATGGGAACAAATCGAAATTGTATTTCTCACCTTAAGCAATAAAGTTCTCTCACTTGAGAGTTAAAGATCGCAATACAATCACCGGATTGATATCGCCACACACGAATCACAGTCGACTGTCCAAGTTGCCCTGAAGCTAGTATCGAAGAGTTTCCGTTGAAGGTAAGGGCAGAAACCTGCAATGAAATGAGCGCTAATAAGGAGTAATCCACGTAATTAAAACAAGTGTGCAGTAATTCCGAATCCTAAAACACGCAAAACAGATTTTGATCTAATCTCAAGTACGATAAGATTAAGGATTAACAGATCTTTACACTTGTATTCTAAGAGCTCATTGAAATTTAACGAGTGGATGATTCTCCTTGATTAGTGGAACTTACTACTCGATTAAGTTAAATCTCGAACGCACTGAGATTACATTAAGCTCACAATTCAGCAGTTTCAAAACATTACTCAGTTTTGACTGGAGTTAGCATGAGTGAGATTTCACTAGCTTTTTTAGCAAATGATTTCAGTTATTAATATAAAACAAAAATCTCCAATTACGTTTTTTTACATTAAACTACTTCATTTAAGCGAACAGATTGCGAACATAATAGCAGATCTCAAGTACATCTACATGATTGCCCAATAATAACAAGCAAAAGTGACCTTGTCGGTGTGACCAATGAAGAATAGTTGATGCCCCGTAGATATCTCCATGGAAACAATCACGGCATGACATGGATACACGACGCATGCGCCATTCTTTGTCCAAAATAATTCCTTGAAATTCGCTCCACCGTAGCCAACAATATGTTTCAATTTCAAAATCGGATCTGGTTTTAAACTCTAAAAATATCAACAAGTCGTAAATCCCAAGAATATAAAGATGAAAATAAACTACGTTGCAATGGTGAGTTCATTAAGAGACGCAGCTAAACCGCAAGTTTCAGTCCTTTGGTAAGCCCGGACTATTTCACAACACTATCATTATTCATTTCTTTAGAGAAAAAATTATATAAATGAACTAAATAATGAGGCTGCCTTAGCCACTAAGTCTGAGTTGATATTTAAACCGGGTCAGACTACAATAGGTGGTTATGCTTACACAAACCATGATAAGAAATGATTTTTAAACCCGATTCAGCAATTCTCAGGCAGGGTTAGCTTGAACATAAAGCCAAAGACAAGCCAACCCGGGTTTTCATGAAGAAATGAGCTAAATTTGATGCTCTAACACCTACCTAACCCGGGTCCACCCAGTTCTTGAGAAGGGTGCCACGGGTTAGTTAATTGACCCGGCTATCGTGTAAACGTTAATAGGCGGGTATTTCTTAGTAGACGGGTTGATCCAGGTTGGCACATTAACCCGGGCTTGCTGTCAACCCGGGCTCATGTAAACGGTGCCTATGTTTAATTAACATGAAGGTAAAAGTTTATTCCTTTAACAGTTGTGCTGTGCGTCTTATTTTAACAGATGGAAAATACTTCCAGATGTCAACCTTGTTCCAAGATCTTCTTGATATGCAACTGTAGAATAAATTTCCTCCTATGAGTATGACAGTCATTTTATATCTATGGTAACTTAATACAAAACCGCAAAGTTTCCATCATAACTTTGCACTAATAATAAATATATGAGCTGCAAAAACAGCACATTCTCGTTAGTTTCTAAGAAAACAAAAATTGACAATAGCTAATAATAAAACACATCTTTTATATCACTCCTTAACTCTATTTTCTTTATTCTTTTGATGATTACTTGGTGATAAAGTATCGATATTTTTCCTCGATTTGTAAGCGTAGACTTGCGTATCAAGGTGATCTTGAGCTTGGAGACCAACAGGGATGTTCAGACCCACTGGTGGCACGTGCGTTGCTACTACTTGACGTCGCTGGAAAAGACGATTAGATACATAGCGAAAATTAGTTGAAACATTGGATCATGGCTACTTCTATAGGCTCATTAACAAGATCCAATTTTTTCGGATCCCAAAAACTCATCGTGAGAATTCATATAGCTAAAGTGAGCTTCCGATAGTCAGATCAATCTATTTAAAAAATCGGATAGAAATAGAACTTGCTCTATTTTCATCCGACAAGATCAAAAGAAGCCGACTGGCAAAATTACATAGATTTGAAAAAGTCTTGGAAACAAGAACAAAAATACCAAAACTATCTCGATAAATGTACTGGAAATGGCACAAGCTGCTCACACGACTTTAAGTATCCAAACGAATATATTTATCAACAAAATTATCGGACCTTCTGAAGAAGCGACCAAAAGTCGGAACCGAAACAATCGGATCCGACAAATCGGATGGTGTGATCGGGCCTTAGGGCTTCATTAAAGTTTCTAATGGATTGATAAAGTTTGCTTCACATATTTCTCATACCTTTGTAGAAGATTTATTAGAGCCGAGTGGCGACATCAAACAATCTCCATGTGCGATGCTTGCAAAGCCAACCCGACTTTTTACTCCTACAATACAGATTTCTCACCAAAATTATTATTTATATCTTTAGAAAATCAATTCCATTCATTGCCTTCTCAGTGATTCAGCATAAAAATATTTGCATTATAGGACTAAAAAACGGGCTGCCTTCGCGACTTCTCATTTGAAAATAATGACATCAATCTCCATGGTGATGCTTGCACTTAATGCTTGTTGTTTGTGGAGACCGACAATAAGCTTCACATAATTCTATTGAATTACCGTTTGTTCTTGTTTCTTGTAGTCGTCGGTCACCACTTTTAAATCCATTCCATCATTACGAATGATCCCCTTCTTCATAGGTTTGCTTTTCCCGGGAAATTTTATGACGTCATACAACTCGTGCCAGTCCATACCTTTGGGCACGTGGATTGCCATGTCACGTGGTACCGGTACGTAGCCAGTCGTCATTAGCCCCAGTCTTCTGGCTTCGTTGATTGTGAGTCCTGGTTCGTATTCAGTGTCGCTCGTGTACAGTCCTTTCACGAGCATGTTCGCGCATAAACGAATATTTTTCAAATAGGCGTATTGCTGATTGAGGAAAAACGAGATGATGTGACGAAGGTCCAGCATTAGGAATGTATCACGTGTCGATAATGATACATCACCAACATTTTCTGAGAAAAAGGACAAGCGTGGATGAAGCATTTTATTTCCTGGAAGCAAATTTCAAACGTAAAATACGCTTGGTGAAATTTTACTTTGATCAGGGCCGTAGCTAGAACGTTCATTGGGGGAGGGGGGGGGGGTATTCATGTATTTAGTTGTCCCCGACTGACTTATTTTGAAAAAGGCTTTCTAAAGAAATCCGTCAGCAAAACTGATTACATGAACATACCTCCCATTAACGTTCGAGCTGCGCTCCTGACTTTGATCACCATTGAAAACGATAATTCACAATCGCATTCCATGATTATAGCCTGTGAACTTCTTCATTGTTTACTTTACAGTGTTATATGTGCGTACCTGGGACCGGTTGCATTGAATAGTCAATTTTCAGCATTTGGGAATACCCCCCTTACAGACAACCAAGTTTCCAACTCTGCGTTATCGAGCTTTTGCTCACATTAACGCAACTGGACACACCCCCAACCTGGACGATCATAACGATTTCTATGAACTCTTCATTCATGGGAGCCTTCTAATCGATAAATTAGTTCAATACCCCAAGCAAGAGGTAAAAATAAACGAATTTTAATCAAGAAGTCATTAAGTCATTTTAAATGGTCCTTGTAATGCAAATATGAAATTGTGTGTTGAAACTTGGTTTCATAAGCACTTTAAAAAGTAGAAAAAATGATGTTGGCTCAAAAAAGCATATGTAGGTACCATGATTTGTAGAGCTTGCCAATATTGCCTCGTCCAAAGAATTGGGGGGTGGTCGAGGTACAAATGGAAATTGCAACCATGTTGATGTGGACTTGAATTCTTTAAAAAGGTTTGAAAACGAGATACGTATTGGAAGACCATCTTCAGTTGCTACATCAATGTGTGCGACAAAAAATTTGCCTGATATTGGTTTAAACAAGATGTAGAGATATCGACCAACCAGCCCCAGTGATTGCGTAGATGTTCGAGGAAACTGAATGAAGTTGCCTGCAGGAATTGAGCCTGCAATGCGATACACGGTACATTTCAGCTGTTTGTCCTGTAAGAATAAGAATAATTTGTTTAAATAAGTTCATTTCAGATACTTGATTAGATAGTAAGGTCAAATCAAGAACCTAAAGATCATTGAATAAATTGATTTAGCCTATTCATCAGATGTAGAGCTTGGCATGTACACAGACTTGGTACTGGTCTGTAGTGGAAAAGCCAGCTGAAACTTTTATTTCTACAAATTTTTCAGCAGAATTATATTATGTATTACTTTTGAAAATTAATTCCATTTGTTATGTTTCCGGTGATTGGACACAAAAATATTTCCAATATTGGGGTGAAAATAGGCTGGCTTTGTCACTGCTTCTGTGAGACAGTTGACAAGTTTAAATTTACAAATTAAACTAAAATTTTCATTATTTCTCCATATGAAACAGTGTTAAGTTCAAAGTAATTTGTATGATGCATAAAATTACTGGCGGGGGAGGAATTAGGGGGGGGCTGGCCAGATGGCCAACCCTTGATTGATGATTTTTGGAGTGGGGCAGCTCTTGTACAGCCCCCTGGTTTTGCCATAAACGACGCCTGTATCCAAAATATTTTTCCTAGAAAATTTTTGACCTCAAGTCTAGTCACTTTTAAAACATTAGACAATTTACAATCAAATATATTACCATAATTGCTGTAACATCGCCTTCTTTTGCACATTTCTTCCATTCTGAAGTGTTATAGTGTTTGAAAAGATTCACATAAGGTTTCTGCCACACTGTGGGTGTTTAAATATGATTAAAGGTCATGATTGATGATATTTTACCAGCTGTTTTGTTCATGTACATAAATAATGCTTATTGCATTTGCCCAAGTAAATAAATGAAATAATATTATCATAGTAACGAAATATAAACATCAGAACGAATGAAAGGATTTTACTTTGTAATGTCACTTACGTTTGGACATTTTTCATTACAACCTAGATCCTAGAATTTACAGTTGATGTCTTCCTCTCATCTATGATCTGTTCACGGTCATGCAGTACATTTTTGCAATTTTTTCTGCCGTTATTTTTTTGAATTCTTTATAGTTGACTTTTTGGTCTTTGAAACTTACTGCGCATGTCTTGACTACTCAACACAGCACACCCAAACAGAGCAATACAAAAAAATTTTTATCTGAACAATTCTTTCACGAATCACGATGCTACGCACAAGAAACACCTGTGGCATGCAAGAGCTTTCAACTCGTGTAATATCTGAATTACTTTATCATCAGCCAGAAAAATTCAAAATACCATCGCGACTCCTGTGTCCTCCGTCCAATGCGCTTCTAATGCTCAGTGGTTTGATCCAGTGTTAGTCAAAAGAAATTCTAATCGCTAATTTTAAATTCAAAGTACTTTAAGAGGAAAATTACAGGAAATGATTTTCTAAAGAATAACATCTTACCAATAGAGTTGTCTATAAGGTGCTTGCATGTAAATAAATCCACGAATGAAAAGCAGTAAATTATTTTCACGTACTCTAGATCCACCATTGACAATGATGACATTCATTTTCCCGGTAAAAAAAGGGCGCTAACCGCTAATTCTAATTGGTGCTAATCATATATTTCATACTTCTTGTCATATATGTCAGCGGTAATATATCAAAAAACTACGGTGACAAAATCTCTTGACGTTCAAAAACCGAAATTTTTATTAATGACATTTAAATGAATGATAAAAACTGTCCTAGTCATACGTATGTAATTTATGCAAGCAATTCAAACGTTCCTTTCAAGAAAGGCACATCAAAATTATGTACAAGCTTAAAAGCGAGCATTAAAAAATCGCTGATACAGCTAGACGATATTTTACCCCAATGACACGCCCCCCTAAATCTCATTTCAATTTTCTCCGCTTTTTCGTTTTCTTTAACTTTGCACAACCCTTTCCGTACCATCCTGCTCCCAAACGTCTATTGTCAACCCACCCTTCCATTTCATTGACGTCGCCATCGGTGTTGTTTGCCAAACAAAGTTTTTCTTTTTCTTCCTTCGACTCAATTTGTTTGACAAGCAGTGCTGCTTCAAGTTCAAGATTTTTGGTGCTTTTTGTGTGTATTTCGTGTTTTCGCAATGGAGTAGACAAGTGAAACATTGGATCCTTTTGCCTGAACAAAAAAGGGAAAATCTTATAATCTAAACTGTTATGACTCTAACGTTATCAAGCTAAGGCATATTCGCAATAAACGTTGGCTAGGCATCGCTACGTAGGAAAAGTAGTACAGAGGTCTTGACCAAGGCAAAAGACTGTCGTACATCCCCCGTCAGTGGCATAGATACCACACAAGTTCGTTCTTGCTGCATATGTAAATATGGCGGTCTTAGAGCAACATAATATTCATATTTCATAGATATTTCATAATATCTCATACTTCATGTTATTTTATAAATACACTGGGCAATTGTCAAAACGCAATCTACACGCACCAATTTTAGAGCTCTTTAACAAATTAATTGATAATTAATCTGAGCATGCGCAGTCGACTTGACCAGCTCCTTAGGTCATGGTCATGACAACGACCAACTGCATCTAATAGCACCGATTTTGAAGTAAATAGCATGTTTTTAACAATTTAATGGAGAAACCATCTGCGCATGCCCACTTGACTAATTGTTCATAGTCATGGCAACGACTTACTAGATGTATTTGCACTACATTTGTGGCAATTAGCTCGGTTGGTCGCAAATTATCAAAGAAATCATCTGGGCATGCGTGGTAAGGATTTCCTGGCAAAAAGGTTTCAGTGTAATGATTAAAGATAATGTGCTGTAATATGCTACCCCAAATGATGCGCATACTTTAATTGTTATGTTAGTTTTTCTGTATTGATAAACGTGGTACTTTTCTTTATCGCAAACACAGGAAACATAAATGTATACGCAAACACCTTTATGAATTAATCTTTATTCTAAAGTATAATTAAGAATATAAAAATTAAATAATCAGTTTATTGCAATATTAATTAAATTCGCCAGAAAGAGAGTATGTATAATCCAACATGGTCAGGAAAAGTATTTTAAATTACATTCACATAAAAAAGGTTTTTAAAAACGGTATCTTTGATTTCTTCCGGGCTACTAACCTTTTTACAGACTGTTTTTGCAGTTTAAAAGTGTTCATTGATTTGGTTTTCTTTCACTGAAATTTTAGAAGCTCTTGAGTTCGGTTTGTTTTTCAATTCGTCATTCGACGTGACAGCAGCATGCACTTGAACAGGGACATTGTGGAATGTTTCGAGAAAATACACCTTGCGATCACCAATCTTATAAAATCGTTCTGGTTGTGGTCTTAGCCATGGTTGATCGTACCAATGTTGACCAACATTAAAAAACAAATGTAATAACAACAACATAATTTCATATGTCTTAGAACCATTCTTCAATATTAGACTAATGCCAAAGTCAGCAATCATAAATTTGCCTTTTTGACCTCGGTGCAAAATTTCTCCGTATAGACCTCACGCTCGTTTATTTGGAGCTTGATAATTTAGTTATTACGTATTTACGTATTTCAGTGTTTTATAAACTACTTTAATGTACTTTATATCTTTTCTGCAAATTTCTATTTCACATGCTCCTTGTGAAAATTAACATAATTCGATGAGGTAAACGTGTTTGAATGAATATTTCATTCCATCTAAATTAACATAATTTTAACGAAAGAAGTCCAGTTTTCGAATGGAACGGCGTGGTATAATTATAATGAATCAACCAAAAATGCTCTGGTATACGAAAAATTGTCAATAGAAGCTAGCTTTCGAATTCACTCACGTGTTATGAATTAGCCAACATAGACTGAAGTACACAAGTTTACGAGTAACAACCAATGAAATTCCAGTTTTAAACATCACTGCTGTGATTGAACGCCCAACGGAAGGTAATTATTTATTGACTTTCTTAAATACAGTAAGAATAAATATACTTCAACTCTTGTTTTAAACAAAAAGGTATGTTGAGTTTTTCAACGTTACTATAAGACACAAACGCTTTGATTGTGAGTAAACACAATGTTTGTAAATCGTAGACAACAGGTAACTTCCAGAAAAAAACGCGGGGATGAACATTTGTAACTGAAGCAACTTGACACAAAGTACCAAAAAACGAGGTCAGACATTCAAATTTCGGACACTGTCGATCAGGTTCATCAACGCAATCCAACGTATAACAAATTTCTCCAGAACGCGAGCCAATAATGAACGTCTTAACAATGTAATCAATTGGACAAGCTATGGTAACAGCAATAAGTTTTCCGTCAGGAGAATAATTGATATCACTAAGCAAATCAAAGTAATTGTGATGTTTTGGGTGAACAGCCAACCTTTTTCGATGGGCTAACTGGAAATTTTCAAAATTGTCAGAAAGATTTAAAACGCGCCACACACAAAACAGCCCGTAACGATCACATATTGCAAATTCCCCACGGCCAAATGCAGGATTGTAGCAGCATTTTTCAACTGCTGAATAATAATCGTACACACGAACGCGTTGTAGTAGTTTTAGACTGTCAACATCAAAATAGAACAGTTCACCATCAGTGCTTCCTGCCAAAGACGGCTGGCATCAGGAGATAGAGCCAAACAACTAAAGCCATCAGCACGATACCGCGCTCGCAAATCTATATAATCTTCAACACCACTTTCATTCCCACTTTCACGTCTTTCTTTTATCACTTGCTCGTCACGCTCATTTGCCTCAAAATCCGTATTAAGAAAAGGCAACCTAATTGAATGCAATCAACTCCACTAAATTCAACTTTAAGATCAATCCATTGGTCGGGTCCGTCTTTTATAGAATCTTCTACGTTCCACAAACCGTCTGGTAGTTTATACACACGACACCAAAAACGATCCAAGTCATGGGGAATATCAGGATTCAAACGAATAGTGACGGCAATTCTCTTTCCATCTGGGAAGAACTTAAGTTGAGAAGTGCGAGCATGAAGACAGTTTATGCAATATACCGGTTTCGGTAACTTTCCGACCTGATGCTCAGGTAAGGCAAAAACAATCAAAGCAAAATTGGTAATATGATCTCTAAGACGACGACTGAGTGCTGCACTTGCAGCTATTAAAGAACCGTCCCAGGAAACGGCCCATTTTGTATCTGGGCAAAAATGTAACACATATTTTTTCGATTTCTTTTCAAATTTTATGTCCATGAATTTCTTCACATCAGATTTAAAATCTTCACTGATAAGTCCTAGTGCATCGCTCCTGTGACTGTACAAGAAACTTTTCATTGATGAAAAATAACACAAACAACGTATTTCCATATTTGTTTCAATGTTGACAAATGCGATGGCAAAATACCGTCTAGTTTCTAAATAAAAAAGAGATGTTTTAATCTTAATGTGAAAAGCTCACCAGAAGATCAATACATTAAATATTTTATTATTTATACCTCGCTCATACATATCTCATATTCAGGAAAGCTGGGAGATGACGAACGTTCAGATTCATCATCAGATGAATTGGAAGACATCGCACAACTCTTTTCCAAAACCTAGAAAAAATCGATTTTATTTCAAAATAGCTACCATTCTCCTCTCGGAAGCATGATTTTGCGAAAGAGTTTGGACACAGGAAGTAAAATTGCCTTGTGTCCGCCATTTTTGTTTTAAAAATAAGCAAATATCTGGCAAATATAGAGAATTGAATGGTGAAAAGACAAATTTTCCGTTTTGTTTTCTTATACATGAATAGACAGCGATATGGTTTACTTTAAAATCGGAAAATCGTCAAGCTACGTTCTTAGTTACCTGGCGCTCGACGTTTTACCATCAACTATTTAACTGAAGCTAATTTTCCAGAGTTTTGGAGATAAAACAAGTCAATAAGCGGAAACTTTCAGTGCAAAATATTCCCCCGTTCAACGTTACGCAAGTCACCCCTTCCACATCAAAATAAAATCATTTGAAATGGTGAATAGTTTAAAATGCAATTGGTAAAATATTCTTTAGAAATGGTCAACGAACAAGCGTCATTTTTAAGTTACCTCGAAAATGAAATAGGCTGTTGCA